CGTGATACAATAGCTAATTAAAAAATAAATCATTAACACCTCTGTAAAGCGAGAGGAAATACTATCATGCTGGTTTGGTATGATTTTCCATAACTTTCCACAGCTGTGAATTACTGTGTGAGAAGGAAGAGGCTGGAAAATGAGGGCCAATCTGACTGGTGACACACTGTCTCTAACCAGCAGTTATTGAAAGACTACAGGATCTATCGTAGGATCCCCTTTTATCACATAGCTCTCATACGCTGCGATAAAAAATATTATCTTAGTTACATTTATTTAATATTACCAGTGGCTTTGCCATGTTCTACTGTGCTGGGCACTGTAGTAGAAAAGTTGAATAATAACAACCCTGAAGCAAACAAAAGTTTGACTTGGTAGAAACATTTCTCGAGCAATTACTCAGCTGGACTTACACAATGGAATTCATGTTAGATGAAGCACTGCATTTGTTTTTTAAATTGATGAATAGAGAAAGGAAATTTAAGACATCCAATGTAATCTAGTTTAATAAAAATCTGCTTGTCATTCTCTCTTCTTTGTAGCTGTGGAGGCCAACACAGCACTGCCTGAATATTCACAAAAATTAATAACACAAAATAAACAAATTCGTGCAAAACTTATTTTTCAAAGCGTAACAAAGACTTTTTCCGTCTTTAAGGTCACATGAAAAGTGGTTTCACTGTTCAGTGAGCCATATCTAAGAATGCAATAAAAATACCCTTGTGCATCCACAATGCCTAATTTTCACAAAGTTTTACACTGAAATAATTCATTTTTAAAGGACTGTAAAGCAACAACTTTCTAAAGTCATGTCTCAAATGCTCTGGCATGTCCCTTTGAAAAGCTAGTGGAATGAAGACAGGATCTGAAATCAGTACAGCATGATGCCACCATTTGGAACCACAACAAAATTATTTCTATCTTCACTCTCATTTAAAAAAAAAGAGCCTAAGAGCTGAGTATAGATTAAATATAGTAATTCAAATCTGGCTGAGAAGCTGCGAACCTTTATGCCAAGTTCTAGCCTGAAATGAATTTAAATGGCCACAAGTATAAATTTCGCAAAGGGGAGATTGCCATGAAATCCTGGCAGAGAAATAAAAATAGAATCATAAGCAAATAGCATAACCTTTAAGAGGGAAGAAGAGAAAGCAGAAACTAGGAAATATTCTCAAACTTCTGTTTAAAAGAACAAGAAAAAAGTAGGATGGCAGGGCTGGGGTCACTGTGAAAAACTAAGTGATGGTGTTTGGTTTGGTATCTGAAATACGGGAGTGATGTCAGACTGTAAGGGGCGGCCTGAGAGTTGCCAAGCTGTTCAGAGCAACTCCAAGGCCTGCGCGGCAATTCCTCTGCTCCGATTGACTAATGGCCATGACCCGATCAACTTCCCAGTATTTTAGTGTAAAACAGTTTACAAATAACTGTGCAGTTCTGAAACGGTGACTTGTGACGCAACCCCGTATTCTTATTGACTCAACGGGTCCGTGCCAGTGTAATATATATGCATCCTCCTTTTCTGTTATTTTTCTCTGCGGTCACTGTGCATAAAGAGGAATCCTTATCCCAAGAACTAACAATGGCTTTACAAGGGATTAGCGGGACTTAGTGGGGTTTGGGGATCCAGACTGGTGATCCCTTTGCAGAATGAGGACCTCTGCCAAAAGCAGACACAATAGTTAAGGTACAATAATGCGCAAGTTGTCGGTTTATTTTCGAAGCAGAGGCAGTTGGCTATACGAATGGCGATCATTATCGTACTAACGGTCTCAGGGGAAAATGTATTGGGAACTTGTTTGATGATTGGCATGCTGTCACTAAGCATTTTATCGTCACTGTATAACAGTGTAAGTAAATCACCTTATTTTTCTATATAATGATTTTTTAAATTGTCTTTGTGGTATTGCTTTCTACACACCAGCAGCAAAGATAACGCTTGAGATGCTGTACATTTCATAGCATTTGAAAACCTCCTGAAATGAATGATGGTTAAGTAAGTTGTCAGGAGAGAGAGGGAGGCAGTGCTCTTCCTCAATACAAAAAGCAACAAAATACAAGCCAGAGAGAATTTCTAGAGTCTTCGACACAATTCCCGAGTGACGTGGTGCCTAAAACTCCTGGAATGCCCTGTGGAAGATGTGGGGCACCAGGGCCCTCCCGCGTGGCACCACAGCTCAGCCTGCTGCATCCTCCCAGGGCACTTCCAGGAGAGTCCTGGGAAGTTGTGAGCAGATGGGATCAGGCCTATGAAAAGGGATTTCCGGACACTGATGGAGTGCACGGAAGTCTTTTTCAGGTAGTGCTGACATAGGAAATACCCTGGTATTTCCAAATGGAGAAACTTGCTGCCAAGGTAGGAATGCAAGTTAAACATGTTCTAGTCATGCTAACACTTCCTGTGAATTTCCTATAACAAAACTGTAACTATATTTCCTGATGGGGAATTCCCGCATAATTATAATAATAGATAATAATAACAAGCTGGCTCTCAGGTCGAGCTTGAATTTTCAGGAAACGCAGTGAAGAAACTTGCATCTGGGAGTTTCCATCTGTCTCCCCCACAACACGCCGCTACCTTCCCGGAGGAGCGGGTGATGCGGTTTGGAAAAACCTGCCTTTTCCAGGGGAGCGCCGGGCGAGCTGCCC